AAAAACATTATTTATATTTTATTATTGTGTTATTGTTAGTTATGAAATTGGTTAGGTTTTATTTTTAGTAATTTTACACATTTAAAATCTTTTTTAAATATAACGAAGAGAATGAGGAAAGAAAAGTTTACGAAAAAGAATCATATTTTATCTAAAAAGTTTTTTCTTTCTGAATCTTTTATTATAATATTTTTATTCTAAAATATTTCTTTGATTTGAAGAATGTCAATTGTTTTTTCTCTAAATCCAGTTATGTTGTTATGCTGGTTTCTCATTGCCAAAGCAGTTATGCTATTAGTTTTTGAAACATTTTCTATGTAAGTAGTTGTTTAAATGAAGTGTTACCTATGATTCTCTGAAAAGCATAATTAAATATACAAAAATCCGATATTAACTCCCAAAAATGTCAGTTATGCTGTTACGCCTTTTAACCACAGAATTGTTGGAACATATTAGCAGTGTTTTTTGTTATTATTGCGTTTTTATGAACGCAAATTATTATGTATGAAATACCCACTGTTCTTTTATCCAGAGTTATTAACATTTTAAAATTTTTAAAAAACTTACTTTTTTGCATTATTTATTTAAAAATCTTTATGTTACTTAAAATTATCAATAAACAACTTTTGCGAAAATATTTAAGAACGAATCAATTGACCTATTATTGAATCTTATTATAAAAAATTACGAAGTTATTGATGTTAAAAATCTAATTCTGCAAACTCCCAGAATCTACAATAACTTAACACCGTTTTAAAATTATTATAATACTATACAAGTTAACATAAGTTGATCACAAAAAATCTTCACGAGGAAGCAATGGGTTCATGAAATGAACACAAAAAATTCATACTTCAACTTGGGATTCAACTTGGATTTCAACTATAACTCGAAATTTAATTATTTTTACATTATTTTTCGAAAATCCAATTATCTGAAAGCATTTTTTAATTTAAAAATTTTTAAGAGGTTACACCACTTTGAAATTTAAAAAAAATAAAAAAATTTTTTTTTTGCTTAAAGTACACCTTATAGGCATAGAAATGATATGCTTTATGGACCCGGCGTAGCTGATTAGAGGTAATTTTTAATTTAAACATTGTTAATCAGGACCAAACTGTTATGAAAAGTTTAAACAAAAAACCACGTTTCGATGATTTCGTTTGTCATCATCTTCAGGTTAAACTTTAGTAAATATTTTAACAATTTTATTTAACGTCGTTCATTGTTTTGTGACAATAAAATTTATTGTAATTAATTAATTATTTACAATAATTTATTCTTATTTAATAACAATTAAAAACTAAGGAACTAAAGAAATTCTGATAATATAACAGAATTCCGAGTAATCATGACTATTTATAATATAAGGTTTATTAAAATAGTATTTCAATAGTCAAAATTTTACATATCAAATTATTATAAATTATTTTAAAAATTATAAATTAATAAATATTAAAAAGAGAATAATATTATAAAGAAATGAGTTTGAATGAAGAAAAATATAATTTCGAAAATAATAGAAATAGAGGGGTAATATTTATATATAGGTAAAACACAATGGAAAAATAAACAGAAAAAATAATAGAAAGAGAAGAAAGATATTAAATTCAAATAAAAATAAATATTAATTAAATTTAAATTTTAAGATTTTATAATATTAATAAAGAATAGGATATAAAAATTATTATTAGATTAAAAAAATAATTTTACATTTTCTAAATATAAAATAAAATAAAAATTACTTTATTGATAAAAATAAAAATAATATAACATAATTTTATTATTATTTATTAAAGTAAAACTTATTTAAAAGTTAATGGTAAAAATTATAAAATTATTATTTCTTGAGATATTAAAGATTTTGTAAAATAAAATTCAGTTACAGGAAAATAAATGACAGCTAGACAATGTCATTGTTTTCGGCAAGCGTTAGAATCGGTAATAGAAAATTGAAGAATCACTTTGTCCTTTGCAATATAGTTTGAATATAATTGGCTATCAAAAATAAGACGTGACGAAAAGTTTAACTTAGAGGGAGAAATTGGCGGTAAGATATACTTATGGTAGAAGCACCTTGTGAAATTGAAAAGTAATGAGCGAAAATCGCGGATTCTCGCTTAAACAATTTAAAGTTTCTTACTCAGACATTCCAACATTTTGAAATTATAGAAGCCTCTAAAAAATAAAGATAGGGACGAGCATTTATAATCCGAGAAAATGCACACTTCTGTTTCTTAATTGTCAGGGGCTATCTTAAAGATTCTTACCAACACAATCAGTTTTTGAATTAAAGAGATTTTAAAGATCTAATCGTAAAAAAGAAACTGAAAATTACTTTATTTGTAGAAAATCAATTGTCAGGAGCTATCCAACGAATTTTGCCAACACGATTGGTTTTCCAAAGTAGTAATAAAAATTCCTTTGCTAAAGATAATCAATTGTCAGGAGCTATCTAACGATTTCTACCAACACGATTAATTTTCCAAGAGTGGTATAAGGAGCAAATCGTAATTGTAGTATAATATTCTTATAAGCCATGTGCATTGCAATAGGCAATCCACATGACAATCTGAAAGATTAAACAATAGATATGATCCCAGTCAACACAAAAACATATCTAATTTACGATATTATTAATGTATTTAAATTAATTATCTAACAGGGTCTTTTTAGAGAAGGTTTCTAAAAAAGTCGTAGTTTAAAAATTTAATGTTAAATTATGATTAATCACTTAAATTTAATTTATTTATAAAAAAAAATAGTTAAAAATATAAATAGGAGAAAGCAGTACCATAATTTTGGTTACGTAAATTTTCCAGAATATTTATTAGTAAAAATAATTCATTTTCTATTATTTTTAGATTACAAATTCAAGTTAAATATTTCTAAACGAAACCGAACATTTTGCACGTGATTAAATATCACAAATGCAATTGCATTTGTGATATTTAATAATATTTAATAAAAATAAATATAAACACACCTTAAGGTGTGTTTATATTTATTTTTATTTATTTATGATTATAATTCTTAACTTATTTGAAAATAAAGTTTATTGTATTCGAATTAAAGAAGGAATTCACAATTGTTTATTTGAGTAACAAAAGATTAATCAATCAGATGGTTTATATTAAAATTTTAAAAATGAAAATATTTTATTTAATATTTTTTTAGAATCAAATTTTTCAAAACGATAAACAATCAATTGTTTAAACAAGTAGAAAAATTTCGCAAAATTAATAAAAAAAAGTTAAAAAACTAAATAATTATTCAAAAGATTCCTCTAATTTGGTTTGAAAGCAACAAATATTTTAAAAATACAAGATATCTTCTATTATATTAAGTTAACAAATTTCCAAAAGCGACACCGACACCGTTCTTGGAAAATCTATTTTCACTTATTTTCAAATAAATCAAAATACTTTGTCATATGCTTTAAGAAAATCTTACATACTTTTTTTTGTAGCATGTTTTTTCAATTTTAACCCGAAAAAGGGTTATTTTGCATTTTCATTCCAAAAAAGGGTTATTTTGCAATTTTATGCAATTTTTTACGAATTTTTGGATATATACCTTTAAAATTACTCTATTTTTAAAAAGTTACTTATAAACAATTTTTTTCAATTTTTTAACCCGAAAAAGGGTTATTTTGCATTTTCATCCCAAAAAAAGGTTATCTTGCAATTCTATGCAATTTTTTACGAATTTTTGGATATATACCTTTAAAATCTCTTTATAAAGGTTTACTCTGGATAATAAAAATAAATACCGATATTTTAAAAGGTTTTTCGATTTATTATGAACATTTTTCTCAAAAATTTTCAAAATCTCCATGTGTTTGTGGGGCAATTTACAGCAATATAATATAATATAATATAATATAATATAATTAATATTGTTGATATAATTATAATAAATTAAAACATTTAATATTTAACAATTGTCATTTCATCCTTCAATGATAATGATCAAAATTAAGATAAATTTTATACAATATTAATAATATATTAATTTAAAACATAAATTATAGATATAATATACATAAACTACAATAAGTAAACAACAATAAGTACAACTACAACCGAGCGAGCGTTAGCGAGCGAGGAATACATCGCTAGTGAAAATAAATATAAAGTAAGAAATAAGCAAAAAAACAAAACAATATATACTCGAATTAGTAAGAAATTTTGTTTCATTTATAATATTATACTATATTTTGATAATCTTATCTGATGATATAGTTCTCACGTGTCTTATTATATTCGATAATAATTAAATTAAGAATACAAACGTCCCTTTAAATTTGGACAATAGCTATTATTCTGTTTGCTGAAAAATTTACAGTATGTGGATGATAATTACCTTAACATTTATGTTTACAGTCATTAAAGCACGTGATTGTACTCAATTGATGCTCGGAATCAATGTGTAATTAGAAAAATCAAAATAAATAAATATTATCTATAATATAATAAAAACCTCTAGTCTGAGATACTTTAGTCATCTATTTGGAAAACAATTTTAGTTATACATATTTTTAAAGGCTTACTTTGGTTCGCACCCTGAATTCGTGGTATAAAAATTAGAAATAATTTCCCGGCAAATAAAAACTAATTCATTTGAATTGAAATAAATATACCCTGGGCTTCAATAAATCCCGCTTAGCTTCTCCTGAATTCGATAAAGCTGTATTCAACTTCCTAACTCTCTATTCATACATATTCAATGAACAAACTTTTGAGCTTTAATTTTTTTTTCAATTCGTCAACAAAAATTCAATAGACATTGGTACGAATTGAATTGAATATACAAAGGGCTTCACTGAATCTTGCTTAGACAAATACGAATTGGACCTTGCTAAAAAAAAGTTAATTCATTTGAATTAGTTTCTTTACTGCAGGTTAAACAACTGATGCATTCAGATCTGTGTATTAAATACAGATATGTGTCTTTTAAATTTTTCTATAAGAGTTTTCGTCTTGAAAATTGCTTTTCAGCAGATAAAGATCCAGTACAGGAAGAAATGTCGGGCAGAGTGCAAGAAGTGGGAAATCAAGCAATTTGGAGTTTATCCAGCTGTAAACCAGGTTTTGGCGTTGATCAACTTCGAGATGATATAACAGAAACTTATTGGCAATCAGATGGACAATTACCACATCTTGTGAATATTCAGTTTCGCAGAAAAACTACTATTCGGGATATTTGTATATACACAGATTACAAACTAGATGAAAGTTATACACCTAGTCGGTAAGAATTACATATTTTCGCTATTGACTTTAGGTAAGGTTTATGAAATAAGTTATATTTAATAAACAAAAATTAAAGTGAATTTATTGTTTGTTTTTCTCTTTAACAAGTGATTCAATTTTTACCTTATTTACTAATATTTCTGTGAATTTTTATCATCTCTATATAAAATTGTCGAAATTATAGTCAACTGTGCAAACACTGAGGTTTGTATTTTAATTTTACTTGGATTTGGAATAATTTCTCATACAATTTTTATGAAGAGAAAAATTACTTTTTGAAGGCTGAGAATAAATGCAATATTTTTAATAGGGACTTTAGAATTTATTGTTTAAAGGAAAATTGTAATATTTAAAAAAAAAATCTTTACTAAATAGTTTTATATTATTGTTGCAGAATTAGTATAAGAGCTGGAACAAATTTTAATGATCTGCAAGAGGTTGAAATTATGGATCTAAATGAGCCAAATGGATGGATAGTAATACCTGTCAAAGATTTAAATGAACGTCCAATTCGTACTTTTATGCTTCAAATAGCTGTTATTAGTAATCACCAAAATGGAAGAGATACTCATATGCGGCAAATTAAAGTGCACAGTCCCGCAATTGAAATTGTCGGTCCACCTGCTTCTTATGTACCTGGTCAATTTCTCACAAACGAATTTCAGCAATATACAGCTATCAGATAAAATTCTTTTCATTTTATTAAAATTATTTTTATATTTGAAAATTACCCAATATAGTGATGCACATCGATCCCGTCTTATTTTGACATTTTTCTCCTTAGAAATCTTGTAACGATAGTAGATAGATTGTTCTGGAGTAATTTATTATAAGTGAATGTCAAAAAAACATGGAATTTCCCAAGTAAATTACAATTATGCGTATAAGAGTAATTTTAATATTATCTGTAAGTTACTCTGAGCTTGTTCAATTTATTATATAGAAATTCAAAAGAGGATATCAATCCTAGACCAAAACGTCGAAAAGGTAATGGCAAACCATTAGAGGAATCATTCGAATTTAATGTAGATGGTAGTGGAATGAAATGGGGAAAATTCAAAATTTGTTTATTGAAAGACCTTCCTGTCGAAAAAATTTTCAAAATGACTGCAAATATTAATTAATTTTAATTCAGTCGATTAAATTGTATTTGTTTTATTAAATACCGAAATTATCAGATTAAATCGAGGGGGAATTCACTCAGGTAGTCAAGTGTACATTCTTGTAATAATTTGTTTCTCAACGCGACAAATAGTTAATCAACACATTAACTGTGTTCCGTAATATGGCAAGCAGTGGTTGTATTTTAAAAATGAGGTACATTTAATTTTAAAAATATTATTCTCCTAATTCGGACAGAAGTGGCTAAATCGGAAAAATACCAGTTATCCCGAGTTTGTGTACTTTTATTTGCCTCCACGGAATTAAAGATTTATTCACATATAAAACGACAGGAAGTAAAATAGGAAGAGTATAAACATTTGCGTAGTACTGATATTTATCGTCTGGGGCAGCACCTGACGGCTACAAAAAATTTCTTATTTTACTTCCTGACGTCGTTTATCGTAATAAAGTTTCAATTTCTCGTGCGTAAATTAAAGTACAACATTTAAGGATAACGTATTTTTTTCGATTTTTCCGTTTCTATCCGAGTTGAGAGAAAAATTCTTTTTAAAGTAAATGCACATACGAGGAGTATTGTAATGTTCGCTCTTACAGACTACTCCTGATTGAAAAAACTGGTACTGGATCATGTACACGATCGTGCACCAATCTTGCACGTGTTCATTCACCAGGCCATGTACAAAAGCAGCAAGTGAAGATATAAAAAGTATTGGAACGATCTTGTACTAGAACATGTTCCAGAACATGCATATGTTAAGTTCAAGTACAAGTTTTTTCAATCGGGAGAAAACAACCGACCTGGTACCGAAATTTCTGCCGGTTTGGTACCGGGTCGGTCATGGATAATAACACGGGAAATATCCGGCCGGGTTCTTGTCTTTAGTGTTTTAATACCGGTTTACTGCCGGCGAACCACCGGCTGCGTACTAGACCAGTGAAAATTTAAGAACCGGCTTAGTACCGGGCCGGTCTCAACAATGATAACCCAGCAACTATCCGGGCCTGGTACCAATATTCAAACCCGTTTTTATACCGGCAAAGGAGTTGGGTCGGCATTAAAACTAGTACCGGCCCAATACCGACATTTAGGCCTAGCGTATGTTATAAATGTATACAGTACTAAATAATTATTAACATCACGATTAAATAATTTAAATTGACGTTCTGAAATGTTCTTTTCTATAGAGTTACAAGATTTTGCACTCTTTGCTTTCTTTGCATTCACCTCTCATAAGCAGGTTTTAGGTCAGCGGATGTTGCATCGACTTTGCAGCCCTAGTGTCCAGAGTTCAATTCCCCGTGTCGTCAGATTTTCAATTTAAGGTTTTTGTTAATTCTTAATAATTCATATGTTTCAGCATTCTGCGTATAATGTTTAAATTAAATCAACTAATATTTAATATAATATAGAATGTGTTAATATTAAATTGTTATCTGATACAGTGCCAATATAACGCCGACAGAAAAGTTTGTGACGGGTAATTTTAATAATAGGATTAAGATCCCATTATCCGCGTGATTCGCCAGTATTAAACCCCTTTCCATATTACTCTATAAAAAACACACAACAAATCTCATGGGGAGATCCCGCTAAGACCTTATGACGCGGACGACGTTGAGACGAAAGAAGATCCCCAAAATGGTATTCAACACTTACCGTTGACAAAGCCGGTGAAATTCCTTGGAGATAATACGTCCTTGAATTTTGTAGAAAAGGAAAACGTCACGACAATAAAGAAATAAAAATAACCAAAAGCTAGTATACAAAACAAAATTGTGATTTATTAATACTATCGATTGATTACTATAATCTCAAAAACCGCGCACCCGCAAAGAAATAAACTTCTTCCTCTGAGGTCCAAAAAGTGTATGCTACTACTGAAAAAGAAAGAACCTTCCTGATTTCTCCACCCGCTCTCCTTCCTATTGCGGTCTTCGTCGCTCGACTGGGATCAAAATTCGAAAGCCACAGATCACACCAAAATGAACCCGCTTATTTTTCTCTAATAACGAACACTACGTTATAATCCCCTCTCCTAGGCCGATGGTGCCTTTAGGTAACATCGCCGAATATCCTTAAACATTTTCCCTCAACCACAAAGACGAAAGTGCAAATAATTAATAATCACAATGATAATACAATTCATTAATTTTAATACAATAACTGTTTGGTTCTAGGCTAGTATAATCTATAATACTGGGTAATAACTAATGCTTATATAAAACAAAATAAACTTTCCTTTTCGAAATAACATAAACCTTCGAAATCTTTACATTAGTATTACAGTAATTGTTCACATTAAACTTAAAGACTTTTTGATCATACTATAATACTATTAGAACCATAATTTCAAAAACAAAAGAAAACCGCTGATACATTATCAGATCACTGATCATTTAAATTCTCCCGCTGATATCTGCGAATCAACTGGCTCTTTGCCTAAATGATCAATTCTGGTGAGAGACCCTGCAACAGCCGTTCCAACTCTCTCAGATCAGTGATCAAACCCGGTGATGAAGTAGACGAAACCTGACGTTGTGGGACAGATGGCGCCGGTAACTCTACTTTTAACCCCCCTTGAACAGGCAGCTGACCCTGAATCGGTTTCACTTCTGGTCTATCAATCCGCTAATTATTATCAAATGATGTATTGTCACCCATGTGACTTTGCCAAACCGCGGATGTGGATCTGTAATTCCTTGCTCTTTTTTCCTCAGTTCTAACCCGTCGATGCTTATCGTATGCTTCCTTGCATACTTCGGCTATAATAATACCCTTCTGATTATCACTTGTCTGAGTGTCGAAATCATGCCATTCTTTACCGCTAATTCGCCACAAAACCTTGCCCAACTAAACTTCCATATCCATATCCTTGCAAAAGTCTACGCCCAAAATCAAATCATGAGTTAGGGAATTTACGGCCCTTAATTTGAAAGACTGCGTACATCCATCCACTGTCAACCATAATCTCAATTTACCCAATGTTTTACTGAATCCCCCAATAGCACTTTGGAGAGACGTATCAGCTGCGACCAAATTCTGTCTAAATTTTTCCGCTAACCTGGGATCTACCACTAAAATCATCGCCCCTGGATCAAACAAAGCGACATAGGGTTTGTCCCCAACTATAACTTTTAGGAAATATCTATTTTCAGTACGTGTCCTATCTACACACACGTCTTCATCTAAAGGCTCAGCTCCCATATCAGCAGCATTTCCTCCCTCCTGTACTATACCTGTTGAAAAATTTTCAACTCTATTAGTACCACCTGTAACGGATAATTTTAATAATAAGATCTAAATCCCATTATCCGCGTGATCCGCTAGCAATAAACCCCTTTCCGTAAAAACACTCACAACAAATCTAATGGGGAGATTCCGCTAAGACAACGACGACGCGGACGACGTTGAGAACAAAAAGATTCCAAATATTATAACCAACACTTACCGTTGATAAGCCGGTGAAATTCGTTGGTGAAAAACACGTACTGGAATCTCGCAGCAACAAACGGAAGGAAAACGTCACGACAAATAATAAATAAGAAAAATGACAAAATTCAATATATATCTCAAAATTGTGATTTATTACTCCAAAACTCGATTACTCAAAATCTACAAAAACGCGCACCCGCAAATAAAAAAGACAAACTTATTCCTCTGAGGTCCCAAAAGAGAGTCTCGATACTTCCTAAAAAGAAAAGAAACTTCCTCATTTCTCCACCTGCTCTGCTTCCTATTGCTGTCTTCGTCGCTCTGCTGGGACCAGTCGAACTCGTTCTCTCTCTCACTCCAAAGGAACCTGTAAGAAATCGGCCCGGGCCGCCAACATAGAGATAATATAAATAGAGTGGAGATGGTCTGTATAGAGGCGTCCGTTTGATAGAAAGAGAACGCGATTTTAGCACCAGTAGGTGTCTCTCTTGCGCTGGTGCTTATTGAAGGACAGATACTGGTGTTAAATCTTTCTTCTCTTTCCAACCCATTCTGTTTATGTCAGGACACTTCCCTCTTACGCAGCCGCCTATACCTTGTCTACTCTATTTATATTATCTCTATGGCCGCCAACCCTCGGGGACTTCCGCCAATACGACTGCGCAAACCATTTGCCAGAAAGACATGACAGAGGACACTCAAAACCGCTAATAAGGTTATTCAAGTTGGGTGGGGGAAAGCCAAGATGGATGATGGCTGGTGCACAAGCATCCTATCAGCATTCATTCCCACGAGAAATTTCTCGTGGGAATGAATGCTGATAGGCTGATAGGTGCACCAGCCATCATCCATCTTGGCTTTCCCCCACCCAACTTGAATAACCTTATAGGGAAATTCGATCCAAAATCCGAAAGCCACAGATCACACCAAAATGAACCCGCTTAATTTCCTCTAATAACGAACACTTCGTTACAATCCCCTCTCCTAGGCCGATGGTGCCTTTAGGTAACATCGCCGAAAATCCTTAAACATTTTCCCTCAACCGCAAAGAAAGAACAGGTGCTAATAATTAATAATCACAATGGTCATAAACTTCATTAACTTTAATATAATAATTGTTTGGTTCTAGACTAGTGGGATCTATAATACTGAATAAACACTAATGCTTATATAAAACAAAATAACTTTCCTTTTCGAAAAAAAACATAAACCTTCGAAAAATTTTTTTAACATTATTATCACAGTAATTGTTCAAATTAACTTAAAGACTTTTAATCATATTCTAATACTGTTAGAACCATAACTTAAAAGAAACAAAAGAAAACCGCTGATACATTATCAGATCACTGATTATTTACATTCTCCCGCTGTTATCTACGAATCAACTGGCTCTTTGCCTCAATAATCAATTTAGGAGAGAGACCTTGCAACAACCGTTCCAACTCTCTCAAATCAGTGATTAAACCCGGTGATGAATCAGACGAACCCTGACGTTCTGGGACGGATGGTCCCGGTGACTCCACTTTTGATCCTCCGTGAACAGGGAGCTGACTCCGAATCGGCTTTACTTCCGGTCTATCGATCCGCTGATTATGATCACCAGGAACATTGTCACCCCTGTGGCTTTGCTTAACCGCTGATGTGGAAAGGCCATTCCTGGTTCTTTTCTCTTCAGTTCTTACCCGTCGATGCTTATCGTAAGCTTCTTTGCCATACCTATGGATCATGTCTTGACGGTGAACACTACCACAGCGGGGGCATTCGGTCATAATGACACCAAAACGTCCACAATTCCGACAGAAAATTTCTGATGGGCGAGGACAACTGGTGGAACGATGGGTAAACTCCCAACAGTTGAAACAGCTTCCCATGGGGGGATCCAACTCCGGATCAGTCGCGATTAAATCCAACCGGCCAAACATAATTCCGGATCTGATAACTGGACGCGACGAACTCTTCGGCGCGAGCTTTACTCTCGTCCTCGCTCGAATGTCCGGTAATGTGGAGGTTGATGATACCGCTGATGGGGAAGGGTCCCTTGGACTCACCAGATCGCTAAGGTCCAACTGGCGACGAGCTCTCAAGTCGAGCTCACGCTCCTTGGCCTGTTGGTAAGTGCCGCTGACAATATTATTGTTGTCTGGGTCTTCCAGACAACACAAACTCTCCGCTGAACCCGCCTCCTTGGACACATCCGTCCAGACATTTGAAGATGGTGATTGCTCAATCACTGTCTCTCAGGCTCTACTACCACGGTATCCGTGACGCCAGATGGCTCCGCTGATTCAATATGGACCAACTGATCCATCTCTTCCTCACCAATCATAATGTCTAAATCGACATCGGCTAATGGATCCGTGGCCGGTTCCTCACTAATCTCCTCTAAAACCTCCTGTCGGTGCCGGTAGACATCAACAAAACGATGAGAGAGCAACTCTGGACGCAAATCCACCTCCGGTGTCTCGTCCTCGAATTCACCAACAACCGTTGTCGATCCGCGCTTTGCGCCCCTCCTCGACCTGACGGTGTTATACCTCCACATGACCAACTGGTAATTTGGAAACCGCTGACAAAAAAAATTGGACCAGTAATCTACAAGAAAGAAAAAGAACAGTTAATTATCATTCACAATCCAGATTGGCAATTACGAGGCGGTATATATCTTTTGATATCTGACACATGAACTTTCGCAACACGACGATTATTTTCCAAATTAAGCTCGTATACCGTCGGAGACAATTGTTTAACAATTTCAAACGGACCCTCATACTTGGGGGTCAATTTCGCTGAAAACCGTTGACTCGCATTCGAAAGCTTATGCGTTTTCCACAATACCATATCACCTACGCTAAATGTCGCCTCCCGCTTATTCCTGTTGTAATAACCTGCTTGCTTTTCCCGTTCCTTATCGATAAACCTGGCCATTAAATCCCTCAACGCGCTCAATCGTCTCATCCGATCTCCCCATACCTCCGGATCAATACGTTGAACCGAGGTAGTATCTTCGACCGCACGACGCAAACTTTGAACAGGTTCAGGCTGCCGACCATAATTTAAAAATGCCGGTGACATCTTTGTTGTCGACTGTACCGCTGTATTCACCGCATGCCTAAACTCGTGTACGTGCTTATCCCACTCTCGATGATCAGCCCCAACAAAAGTCGCGATCATCGTCTTAAGCACGCGATTACTCCGTTCAACAGGGTTCGCTTGAGGATGATAAGGCGGGGTGGTCAAATGTCTGACGCCATATTCCTCTAAGGTCGATTTCAGATATTTGTTATCGAATTCTTTACCATTATCGGTCAAAAGAAATTTCGGTGTACCCCATCTGAATAAAACTAACTCCTCAAAGGCCCTGGCAATCGTTTTACCATCCGCTGATCTCAAAGGTTTGACCTCTACCCAACGCGAAAACAAATCCTGGAAAACCACAAGATTCCGACACTGATTTTTGCTTGGTGGAAATTCCATGCAATCGGCCGCTACCACTATCCAAGGCTATTCCACTATTCTTTTGCCCATTAGACCTTTAGGTCCTTCCTGTGAAACCTTATGCAGTTGACATTTCTGACACGATTTAACAAAATTGTGTACATCGAACCACACTCCCTGCCAGTAATACTCTGTGGCTACCCGGCCATACGTCTTTTCCACCCCTAGATGACCAGCTGATAACCCATCATCATAAAATCATCATAAAATCATCATAACAATCATAAGTAATTGTCCTGAAAATGTAGGACACTCTGTCCCATTTAAATTATCACACATTTCCGGTAATTGTCTCGAAATTGTAGGACACTCTGTCCCATTTAAATTAGCGACCTTATTCCGCTGATCAACCAGCGATTCCCCTTCACTAATATCTGAGTATTCCATTAGTTTTAATTCATTGTCATTATTATCTTGCGAAGTAGGTCCCTCTATTGTCCCACTAAGTTGAGTCGGGGGGAGGGTTGTTCTGTCCCGCCCCCTTGCGCGTTTTCCACATTCTGACGCATTGCAAAACAATTTGGCCAATTCGCACAGATAGCTTCCTGAAAATTAACTGTCTGAAAACCCCCGGTACTACGACTTTGCTGCACATTGGGAAATTGTGACCCGTTTTTTTTACACCTAAACTCTTCGTCGCTCGGCTGGGACCAATTCGACTCGTTCTCTCTCTCACTCCAAAGGAATCTGTAAGAAATCGGCCCGGGTCGCCAACCCCCGGGGACTTCCGCCAATATGACTGCGCAAACCATTTACCAGAAAGACATGACAGAGGACACTCAAAAACACTAATATGAAAATTCGATCAAAATTCGAAAGCCACGGATCACACCAAAATGAACCCGCTTATTTTCCTCTAATAACGAACACTTCGTTATAAGTTACAAAAATTATACCTTCTCATATGATGCGAATGTAAAAATTTCTTTTTAACCACTGGCCCGGTAGTTTACCAGCACGGTTACTTCCCGGGTTATCATCCATGACTGATCCGGTACCCCACCGGTGGTTTGCCGGCAGTAAACCGTTTTAAAACACTAAAAACAAGAATCGAGACGGTGGTTTACCAGCACCGGCGCGGATAGTTGCTGGGTTATCATCCTTGACCGCACTGGTTCCACGCCACGACCGGCATTTCTGCCGGCACAGGTTGAATATTTAAAGTCTGCCGTTGGTACCGGCCGGTACCAGGTCAGTCGTCGATTTCTGCCTGGGCATTGTCATACATTGTGTTAAAAAGTATGGTTAAAAATGCCACAAATGAATCGATTATTGCAAAAGTAATAGTAACCTGGAACGAAAATTTTAAGAATTTTATGGCATTCTATTAACAACAAAATTTGTGATCTTTGTTATTGTTATTTAAAATTAATATTTCCTGCTTTAAATCATGTTTATTTTTGTAAATTTGTAATTTTTTTATAAATATAAACAATTTAGTATAGTAATTTAATAAACAAAAATAATCTTTCATTTTTTACCTATTTTGAAGATGTTATTGTTGCATATTACTCCTTTTTTAAAATCTGAAATGGTTTTAAAAAAACTTTATTATTTACATTTATAGTTCAAATAAATAAAAAATTTTTACAGTCCACATTATGAGGATCTTTGTAACAATGCGACACTCTGATTTCTACTAAATTATATTAAAATTTAATAAATAGTTTTAAATTTTGTTTTATTTGAATACACATTAATAACATTAATACCTGTCTTTAACGGATTACTTGTGTCTCGTGTGCTCTTCTGTCGTAAAAAAATCAAAATTGAATTTTTTTGAAAAAAGTTTTTACACAATCCTAAACAAGTTTTGACGGAGTGATTCGTTTTTTTTGCAAACTGGACTTATATGCGTGTATTTAACGGTTCCTCCAATCCCGTCGCAGGCTCCTTTATTATGAGTCCATGCTCGTGTACTTGCATAAGATCATAAGTAAGTTCATGTACATGATCTTGTGTTAATTTTTGCAAAATTTGTGGAAATTTGTAACATTGGTCATAAAAACTCTTTGTTCATACATGCGAAAAACAACTGCGTAGCTATATATAAGCTATATAGAAAACTACTGCGCAGCCATTAGAGATTTTGATTATAAACTGTAAGGAAAACCCAACATCTTGTACATGATCTTACTCACAATTTTGATTTTTGATTTCGCCTAATTAAAAAAGAAATTTTTATTGAGGTAAAACTATCAACTACACATAACATAAAATTTATGTAGTTCTACCTTTTATCACGGACCGTCACATATTATATTTATAAAAACAAAGTATTTAATATAATAGAAACTATAATATAATTTTAATTTTTATAGTATAATGTAGAAATCGAATTTCTAACAATGTGATATTCTTTCATGTAAAGTGTTGTGTTTATAAAAATTATAAGATAACTAATTTCTATTGTAGTTTTATTGTTAAAATTTGTAGATACTATAAGGTGACGGTATTGATTAATTTTCTTTTTCATACAAAGTAAAAGTCCTTTCAACCTATCATTATTATATATAATTACATTTACACTATCCATACTTTGAGATAAAATGTAGAAATGGCAATTATTATAATTATAGATACATCTAACAGTTCTTAGATAACTCGATGAAAAACATCCACTCTTTAAGTTAATATGCATAAGTGGCAATTATTATAATTATAGGTATTTCTAACAGTTCTTGGGAAACACTTTAAGTCAACATAAATATTTAAATACTCGGTATATTGATTTGTACGCAGAATAAGGATGCTTTTAAGAAGGACTAAAACACATGAGTTTTTGTCAATATTGTGTAGGCACCGAAGAGATGGACGTAGTAAATAAGCCATACTACGATCTTACCAGATATATTATAATTTTAACAGGTTTAAGTGTACATCATCCGAAATGGCTCAATTTTTTATTAAAATCATTTACTTTTTTTACTATTTTTTCTTTTATATGTCTTCAGGTAATACTATATTTATTCACAATTGTTTTTAATTTAATGTAAATATTAAAAAATTAGATTGCAGGATTAATAAAAGAATTCGGAAATATTGACATGGTATTGCAGTGCGTTACACCAGTATGTTATACTTCAATGGCTGCAATTCTTTACACAAATAACAATATGAAAATAAAACAAGTAATCAGTTTAAATTTTTTTTTTGCTTCCTCAAAGTAAACTTAAAAATAATGACCCACACAGCACATAATATTTCCAAAATCGTTTTGAAATTTTGAAATATTTCAATATGCAAAGTCCTTGAAATATTGCTGCAAACAGGTAAATGTCCGCTTATTAGGAAATACTGATGGTCAACTTGAGAAAATATTTCACTGAAATATTCTGGAAATTTTCAACTTAAATAATGCGCACTGGTCGATCTCAGTTACTATGGCCTGTACAACTGCGCAGTAGTTTTTAGTTTTCTAGAATCCTAAGGGTGTTAAAAATTTCAAAAAATACCTATTGATTTCATGTGTCAAAAAATTTTGAACATTTTGTAAAATATTTCAGAAGTCGTTATTTGTAATATTGCAGGAATATTTCAGTGAAATATTTTCTGAAGTTGGCCATCAATATTTCCTCATAAGCTGACATTTTCCTGTTTGCAGCAATATTTCAAGGACTTTGCATATTGAAATATTTCAAAATTTCAGTGAAATATTTCAAAAATGATAAATATAAAGGATGTAAGATTGTTGATCAGTTTGACTCAGTTGTAGTAAAAAGATGTTAAAAAAGTGTTTTTCTTCTGATCATTTACAAAAAATCATTTATTTAATTTTTCTAAGCTTTCGCTCCACAACGCGGAGCCTCTTCAGAGTTAAATCTGAAAATATATACAAAATATAAATATACATGTCACACTTCCATACAATATCATAAGAAGTTAACCTCAAAACTCACCAATCACGTGTTGAAACTTTCCTATCTTTAATATATAATTATAAGCCATAACACACATAAAATTTAAAAAATCCTTCAAACAATATAAAATTAAAAACATTGACTATATATTTAAATTTTTAATTAACAATAAGGGGAGGAGAAACCTTCCCCGTTTTTTTAAAAGTCACATGTTTATTGATATGAAAACGCAAACTAAGATTACGATTTTGAAAGTTATATAATGTCGATATAGTAGATTGCTTTCTCTCCATGAGGAGGATAATTCAAAATTAAAAATTAATTTTATTAGTGTTTAAAATTAAAGTTCTGTAAATATCATTAAGAGCATTTGTATCTGTTCTTAGGTTAACTGCATTATTATTTTTAACTATTTGAAACATTTCTTTAAAAATTCTTCGAAAGTAATATCTTTCTGTTCCTAAAATTTTAACGTCTTTAAAATTAAAAAAGTGGTCCATCTCATGGGAGTGTTTTACAAGGGCTGATTTTCTTTCATCTCACTTGCAGTCTCTCTCGTGTTCTTTCATTCTATCCTTTATTTCAAAAATGTTTTGAAAATACTATGTGCTGTGTGGGGATGGTTTTTGAATCTTATGCAATTAATTATTGGAACTATTCAGTATCCCTGCCGTACAGATTAAAAAGATCGTAAGCGACATTGTCGCTTAGGTCGTAATTACTGTAGAATAAACATGAGAAAATCAACCTAAGCGACAATGGCGCTTATGTATCTTTTTAATTTGTACGGCAGTATCAGGGATAATATGTTTGGAACCCAGCTAAAAATTCCTCTACAGGATCCTTAAAGAATCCCAAGAGGTTCCTACATAGAATCCTTAAAGATTCCCTGAGGGATTCTGTTAAGCATCCTACGCAGGATCCCAATGGGATCCCTTGCAGGATATTTTGGACAAGGATCCTGTTGAGGAACATTAATTGAAGAGCTCGACGGAATAACGATCTATGGCACAATTGAAAAGTTTGGTTATGAGCTTTCAAAAAACGTAAATTTTCATGAAATTGGTAATAAGTATATGTAAATTGTTATATATTACACACTTAGTAACTATTTTTAATTCTATTAGTAATAATAATTCGCTTACAGTTGTTATCAATTTAATAAAAAATTTACGTTTTTTGAAAGCTCATAACCAAACTTTTCAATTGTGCCATAGATCGTTATTCCGTCGAGCTCTTCAATTACTTTGTTAGTTCCTTTTGTAAAAAACAATGTTTGAATTCTGTAAAGTAGGTAATCTTTTTAATAGACATTTACATGAACGTTGTTTTCATAATAATATATAAATGTAAATCATATACACAAAATCACAATTTCTTCATAGATAAACGCTGTTTTTGGAAAAATGCAAAATGATTGGGACACATTAACATCAGAAAATGAAACTATTATTCTACACAAATATGGCAGAAAGTGCAAAATTTTCACTAGCATATATACTTGTAGATATTTTTTATTTGAAAAACAAATTAATATATTCAAAAAATAGAACAAAAATCATTAAGTTTTTACAATTAATGATTAAATATATCTTTACTCTCGTCCTCATGTACTAAACCATTGCTTTTAAATTTATATAATGGTCATTTTTTAGTTGCTTATTTGGGACATGGATTTTTCTACTATTTATCACATGGCATTCCCATGATAATTATCATTATGAGAAACGATGGTACACCTAAGCCGCTTATGTTTTTTATTGAGTGTGGTTTAAATTCACAAGAATACTATGTCGTCATAATACTTTATAGTTATGTAGTTGGTTACGTTGCTAGTTATGCGATTGTAAATGGAGGTACAATTCTTATAACGTTTCTTGAGCATGCTTGTGGAATATTTGACATTTTAGGGTAATCTCAATTTATTGTTAAATTTTTTAAATAGTAAAATAATTTTTCGAAAACTACAAATTGGTTTTTTAGATTTTATACACCCTGTTGGAAATTCCTATATAGTTTTGTACTGGAGTACATACATACATCAAATTTACTGATGTACGTTGCCTTAAGATTTTCATGAATGCATTACACATATATAATCATATGAAGGATCTTACAAGGTTTCCTCAAAAGTTAACTCTAATGGTACTCACGTGAAAAACTATATAAAAAATTTCAATAGATTATTTTTAGCTAATATTTTAACTCTAAAATGTATAATAGGAATCTTTATCTTTATGTAACAATCTATGTAAATGTAATATGAGAATAATATTATATACCATACCTACAATAACTTAAGTACCTTACGTAATTAAGAAAACAAGTGTAAAAAATGATTAATTATTAATTATTAAGATTTTAATAATCTTAAGGAGGCCTACCTGTGTGAATATTTCAAAAAATTAATTTTTCTTTAATATTTCTCATCGATAAGATAATAAAATTATATGATCGTGAATTTTACATTTTTTTATATGAAAAAAAGTTTTAGCACGTCCTTAAAATAAGGTACTCAGAGCTTAAAAAAATTCTAAAATAAACCATGCAACTACTGATTGTGTGGACCGAGTTGATTTGTAGAAATATTTAATTAAATTAAGATTTATTAAACAGTAATTAATAATTACAGAGTATAGAGATGTTTTCCAGCTAAAATTTTTTGCACATGATCCTTAAAGGATCCCAAGAAGTTCCTACATAGGATCCTTAAAGGTTCCCTGAGGGATCCTGCTAAGAATCCTTAAAGATTCCCTGAGGGATCTTGCTAAGAATCCTACGAAGGATCCATTGCAGGATATTGGAACAAGGATCTTGTAAAAGAACCTGTGTAGGAACATTTTGTATTTGTAGAAACCATAAGAGGATCCCACGCAGGATCAATAAAAAAAATTACATCATACCTCTTGGTTTGACAAATTGTAACAATATTCAAGCATAAACAAACAAATATATCAAGCATTTATCGGATTGACACACAGGTAGACCGCCTAAAGTTAATGAAATTTGTCAGTATTAAATAAGTCTGCTATATATTTATTGTTCACAGACAAAAATTGACTACTGCCGTAAAAGAATATCCTGATTCTATTAATAAAATTAGTTCTCAAAAAAAGCTCCATCGGGAAATTAAACTTTGTGTGGCAATGCACAGAAAAGTTCTACTGTTTGTATAACAAAAATTACTATACACGGGAATAATTTGTGTTGAAAATATAATCAAGAAAATTTTCTAAAATATATTTAACAGTGTAATTAGAAAGCATATAAGTGATATTGATATATTTCATGGCACATTTTAGAAGATTTTCTTGCTTTGACAGAGTGACCCACACAGCACCGAAAGTTTACGGAACATTTCTTATAAATTTTTCGTAAACTTTCAGTGCTGTATGTGAGGAACGACATATTTTATCGAACAAAATTTTCATGACTGATATTCTAAGATACAAACACAAATTTTCTGTGTACTCAATTATTCATATTGAAACTAAATATTACAAATTACATTGCCAATATCATCGAAGGGAATACCAAACTACTTGAGTTATATTAATTAAAATATTTTACTTTTCGAGATTTATCAATGATATTCAGAATACTTTTTCAACTTCGTATCTTCTTGTCTTTGGGCTCAGTGCAATTTTGTTAAGCGTCACGGGAGTCCAAGTAAATACCATATATTGCTAATAATAAAATTTTAAATTCATTAACTGTAATGTTAAAAAAGAATATTGGAATATTCTAGTAAAAAAGACCGTAATTACGTATGTAAATACGACTACAAATATCATCGTAACCCTAAAAATGGTTGCAAAATTTGTAACAGGATTTACAGTCTTAAGGGGTTACGCCACCCTGAACGCATGAAAATCGGATAGTTTTTTAGGTATTTAGGAAGATGTATATTAATTTGCAAGTCAATCGGTTGAATTGTTTTTGAGTTATCGCGTGTACACCGTCTCGAAAAATGTAGTTTCGAGAAAAACGCAAAAGAAGAAAAAAATATACTTTAGTGTATTATAACTTGAAAATTTTTTAACTTACTATTTAATCAGCAATTCCTGGGCCATAATACTCTTCTCCTAGAATGGAAAGAATGTCCTCTGATCTGAAAATGGAAAGTCGTTAAGGAGGCGCTAGACGACTTCAAGCAGCTCTCGGCGCGTCCCTACCCGCTGACTTCTAAAGATCATAACTTTTGTAATTAGTGAGACATTGTCTTCGGAGACACCTCAAAATATTCGTTAGAATATAAATTTTGAAATTAAGCAAAAAAAAAAGAATCAATTTTTTGAAAATTTCAGGGTGGCGTAACCCCTTAATTAGGCACATATTTACTGTTAAAAATGTGGGAAAATAAATCGTTAGGTTAGACAGTAAATTTTTTTTCAAATTGATAGCTTTTTAGGGTCATAATTTTGGATATAATAATAATTGAAAAAGTATCATAATATAAATTTTAGACAAAGTCAACGCGTTGGTGTGGAAAAAAAATAGTAAACCAACGATTGTCGACGTTAAAATCAATCGACAATCAACTTTATGATTGTAATCGTATTTAAGCACGTAGTTACAGACATTTTATGCAACAGAGTAAGCTCTAATCTTATTCTATGATTTAGTGTGTGATGAGTTTAAAAAATTCTGGGGATGCATTAAGGTTTGGATGTTACGTAATATTTCAAGTGTTTAATATTTTCTGTTTAACTCTACCAACTCAGCATTTACTGGATAACAGCCTTAGTCTTTCTAACTCAATGTACAACTCAATTTCTAAAGAAAATCAAAATATTAATTTATCCTTTACAAGTATTCAGGCAGTGATACGTTATATGACTGTTAGGTCTGTAATGTTAATTTGTCCGTAATTTTTCTCGTAAAATACTGAATGGATTGAGTTGAAATTTTATGAAGGAGTTCCAAATATGATAAGGAATGGTTGTCAAGTGCGAAAATGTTAATATATTGTTAAATAATTATTATAAAACACTTGAAAATAGTTAGAAAATGTGGGGGTTAGGAGTGTCGGATTTTCTAACAATTTTTATGCCTTTTATTATTATATTTATTTAACAATATATCAACATTTTCGCACTTCACAACCATTCTTTATCATATTTTAAATTCCTCCACAAAATTTTAGCTCAATCCATTCACCATTTTACGAGACAAGTTACGGACAAATTAATATTACAGACCTAACAGTCACATGACCTTAAGGGGGCACTCGCAGTTGTAGCTCCAAAAAATAGACCTTTTTTATGAATTTTTTTCTCGTACACCATTAAATTTTTTCAAAATATCGATGTATTATTATTAAATAATTTTAAAATTATCTTCTGTCAAATTGATGTCCTTTTGAAAAACATGGTTTGCGGTGACCAACACTATGGAAATCTGGTTCGTCAGAAATCAAAAATTGAAACTTGAAATGATTTCAAATTTAGATTTTAGACTTAAAGTGTATAGAAGAGAACATAAGACATTTTCTATCTTCTGGTGAATTATTTGTAAAGAAATACTTTAATATTATGAAATTTTGATATTTTATACCCAGTAAGAAGTGAGGAATTCAAAAGAATTGAAAAATTTTAAGTTTCCAATGAAAAGGATAAATTATCAATTTTTTTGAATTCTGTTTGTACCCAATTCCTATATGTATTCCTTGTTGAGACTAAGATTGCTCGAAACTCAATTCCTATCAATTCCGTTTTAATATTTCGCTAACTATTTAATTCTTTTGAATTCCGTAATACTCTGAAGTTCATTTAAAATCAAATATCTACAGTTCAGTTGATACAGCTGCGCAGAATAGAATTGACTGGCTCCGATATTGAAAATCAAAGATTAAATCTTTGGACCGTCAAATTTTTTTCTGTACAAAATTTTAAAACGAAATTGAGAAGAATACAACTGGCCTTATTTTCGAGTACCCAAGAAGGATACAAAAAGAATTGGACAGAAACGGAATTCAGAAGAATTAAAAATTTTTAATTCTTTTCAATTCCTCGCTTTTTACTGGGTATAATTAATGATTGATTTTGTTAGATACAATGCAGATTGGTACCATTTGACAACTGAAACAAAACAATTGTTAATCATAATAATGAGAAAAGGATCTGAACCAACTACATTTGTCGTTGGCAAAATATTCGTACTTTCATTACAGTTTTTTACAAAGGTATGAAATTATTCTAATTAATTTCATTATCAATATATTGTTAATTATTATGCAATTTATTATTAAAGGTTCTCCAAACATCAATGTCCTATTTTACTGTATTGATGTCTGTACGAGAATAAAATGAAATATTGACTTTTCTATTTCTGTTATATGACACTAATATATAAATGTAAATAGGTTTTTTTAAATCTTTATTAGTAGAAAAAATGTTTAGAGCATCACAAAATGTATAAAATCAAAATGTGGAATTAATATAATTATATTGTATTAATAAATGTATAAGTCAATTAAATGGTATTTATTTCAAATAGAGAAATTATTGGTTCAAGTACAATTTATTTAATTCAAATAAAAATTATTTAGTTTAAGTAACTATTTTTTTGATAATAGTCAAGTAACCGATATTATTTGTAACAAATAAATTTTTTTCCGTAATATACAAGAGTTTCGGTATTTTCATTAAAAAAATCGAGATTTTTTCATTCTTTTTATTGGTTTTCAATATACATTATCTTCAACTGCAAACAGTAGTGTTAAATTTACATACGTAAAACCAGAAAATTATTAAGTGCTACTGATAATAGACGTGTATAAATTTAAATGTTTTACAAATTTTACAAGTTTTACAAAAGATTAATTAATTTAATTTTTCGCAACATTTATTATATATAGCGGAGACCGGGTCTAAATGTTAAACTGTTAAAACCATTAAAATTCTGTATCTCCCAAACGGAAATAGTTACAGGGTCAAAATTTGGACTGTAGAAGGGTCTTAGAGTAATTTTACATCAGTAACCTAATTCTTACTGATTAAACCAGTGATATTAACTGCCCTGGTTACAATTTCGGAATGATTTCAGATTAAATAATACAGGCAGATCAGTCCGAAATTGACATAAAATAAATCCTCAATTAGTTTGCAACAATTTGATTTTAGTTAAATAAAAAAAAAATCCTAAATGAGTATAAATTTTTATAGTTTATGTTGAATAAGAATTTAATTCTTGAAAAATATAAACACTTCAACAATTACTATATAACAATGAAAAAGTTATTTTATCTATAATATATTTTGAGCCTTTCATAGTATAGGTTAACCGTCGAACAAACAACACTCAAATCTCGCAAAAATAAGTATCAACTCACAGAAAATTTGATTCTCAAGATGGAATCAGTTCTATTCCAAACAGAATCGTCCATCCCTATCCGCTTTAGAGTCGGAATTAATCGGATAATACACAAATAATAAAATTCTATCGAATCTGAAATTAATCCGGCATGTGTAATCACACTGAGAAAAATAGATGGTAAGAACTTATGATCTTAAGATTGTAAAAAGTAGATGGTATCCGGTACCATCATTATGCTACTCGGTACTATCAAAGATGTTACAAAAGAATGGTTATGTTACCCAGTACAATTAAGATGTTACTCCGTACAATCTGGATAGTAACTGATAGAATCTAGATAGCTGTCCGTATATGTAAGATCAAATATGGTACCTGGTACTATCTCGATAGTACCCCGTACCATCTATTTCTCTTTATGCAGTAAATCTATAATCAGCGCATTCACCAATTACATTTGATCGAAGTGACTTTAGATTTGATCTGATTAATTCCGGATTCATTGGTTACACAAATAGGACAAATTTCGTAATTAGCAGGACTAATTCCGCATGACAATAAACCGGATTGTTTCGGATTAATTTCAGATTAGTCCGCAAACAAACCAGAATTTTAACCAGAGTGATTTCTAGAGAATTGGTGAAAATCACTAGCTAATTTATTTATTTGATAAGGCTCCTAGACACAGAAAATTAAAAGGCATTAAAATAAGCTGCAACGCTTATTATTTTAATCCAATTTTTCTTATTTTAATCCATTTTGATATTAAAATAAGCAAAATTGGATTAAAATAAGAAGTGTTGCAGCTTATTTTAATACCTTATAATTTTCTGTGGAAGTAATGAGCGCACTAAAAAACAAATTACAAAGATACATTACAATATCGAAGATATTTTTACAGGCCTATATGCCTGTTGGATACGATGGACAAACTTCTAGAGGACATGGTTCTGCAGAGAATGCAATCTCACTTGACTGGAGAGATTAGTCTATCCGATTACCAATTTGGATTCCGCAAAGGTTCTCGACAGAGAAGGGAAAAACAAATTGGGTCCACATAAGAAGAAGAGCTTCTGCGCGTTGGTAGCAATAGACATACAGAACGCGTTCAATTCCGCGAGATGGGAAGATCTCATGGAGTCGATGATACAGAAAGGTATACCGCCCTACCTGTTGCGGATAATGGATAATTATCTTAGCGACGGGTAAGTTATTTACGAGGGAGACACCTGCATTCTAAAAGAAGAGATGCAGCGTTGGGCCCCTCAAGGCTCGAGGGTAGGGCTATTTTTATGGAATGTATCGTACGATGACTTTCTGAGAATGGACCTGGTCGAAGTTGCGGTGATCGTCGGCTTTGCGGACGACGCGTTGATCGTGTACACTGCCGACTCCGCGGAAGCTCTAGGGACATTAGTGAACGAATGTCTGCTGCTAGCACAATGCTAGTTGGAAACCAGTGGTCTTCAAATGGCCCTGGAAAAGACCGAAGCGTTGTTGGTCACAGACAGACGTGGTTATAAATCCCCACAAATCGTGAAAGACGAATTCGAAGTCAAGTGGAGGAGACAGATTAAGTACCTAGGTGTGGAATTAAATGGAAGGTTAAACATCCATCACCACATGGCTACGGCGTTAAACAAGGCGATAGAGTGTGCGGCTAATTTAGCACGAGTGATGCCAAACGTTGGAGGCCTCAGTGAGAAGAAGATGAGACTAGTGGCAAGTGTCGCCCACGCTAAGTTTCTTTACACAGCACCAGCGTGGGCCCCCTCCCTGAGAACGAATAGATGTTCTACAATCTGCAAAAAGATGATGTCCGCGCAGAGATGCATTACTTCGCGTATCGTCTCTGCTTAATGGATAGTATCCACGAGTGCTGTGCAGGTCCTTGCAAGTGTCCCTCCAGCAGGTCTTTTGGCGCTTGAGAGGGAGGAAATTATCCTCCTTCTCAAAGAGGCAAATTCTTCGGAAGAGAAAGATCGACCCAGCAAGGACTGCATCCGCGTCGAAGCAAGGCACAAGCTCGTCGAAAAATGGCATGAAAGATGGGATGTGGTGGTAAAACGTCGATGGACATATCACCTTATACCGACACTCGTCACCTGGTTAAGTAGGAACCATGGTAAGGTCTCCTACTACTTGACGTAAGCGCGGACAGGTTACGGGTGTTTTAACTCGTACCTGCAGCGCTTGAAGAAGAGAGCGAGTGAGGAGTATGCTTACTGCCAGTTCCCTGTGGACAACGCAGAGCACACCCTCTTTGTCTGCAGTCGATGGGACTTGGAGAGGTACGCCATGTTTAAGCAAAAAAAAATATCGAAGATATTTAATAAACAAATTGCTATTTAAATCGCTTAACTTTTTAAATACAAAATGGCTAGATGATTCTCTTATCACAGTTGGTAATTTATTCCATATAATCTGGCACCTCTAATATTGCATTTTACATGTACGATGAAATGGAATATTTGAAACATTTGTTTCTCTCACATAGCTTGCAGTGTGAATTTTCATTGCGATCTTTGAAATCAAAAAAGTCATACAGATAAGTGGGAATTTTGCTATTAAAAATTGAGTATAATGTACTTCCAATGAAGTATTGTCTCCTGCTTGCGACATTCAATATCTCTCTCCTATATGGTGTAATATGCTCTACTTTGGGTAGATTATAGACAAACCAAATACATGCATTCAAAGACATCTCAAGCTTATAATTCAACTCATTAGTTATATCATCATATAGACCGTACAGAAATAATCATAAATGGGTAGTATTATTTATTTAAATAGTAGAGCTCGAGTTCAGGTTGGAATAGAGTCTCTGTTTTCTGTTTCCCTTCAAGACAAGGATCAATTAAGGATTAGACCATGATCTTTTACTTTATCTCTGAATTCTATGGGAACTTCTTTAACTGTTAAAGCGGGAAGGTCAGCCAGCAATTAAACAAATTAAACAATAAGGAGGAAAGTGAAGCACCTTGCGGAACACCACACTTGAGTCTAGTCCAGTCAGAACTGTCACCTCTCCCATCAACCACCCTTTGAAATTTATAACTCAAGTAAGACTCAAATCAATTACAGACCGACTTAGATATGTCAAAAGAAAAAGGATAATTAATTAATAATTTATGTATAAACGCTTTTTGAAATTTAATTACATAATTAAAATATTAATTTTCTTTCTATCTGTTTCGGCTGTCACACCTGTTTTATCGAATTTATTTTTTTGTACACATACTAATAACGCTTACTACTTCTATGAAAAAAACAGTTGTTGCCAAAGTGTATCCGAAAATTAGCAAATAGAAGACAATCAGAAGTAATTTTTCCGTGCTTATATCTTCTGGTGGTGCAACTCTACTCACTGTGTTGACATCGTTTGAAAGAATTTCAAATAGAAAACCGCCTTCTGATGATCTTAGTAAAATTTCATTGAAGCGATCAAGAAAAGGAGATCCGTGCCTTGACGTCCAGGTCTTGGTGTAATAGGGCGAAAGTTGATCCTGCAGTATTCTGCCATTAAATTTTTCCTCCCTAGCCATGAAATCATTTACTTGTTCTTCAGCATTAAATGTAATACAAGTTACATTTTGATATTTAGATAAGTAATCCAAGCATTCGTTTACATGGTTTAAATTAGAAAACTCAACTGATTTTGTGCCTAGTTTTCGAATGTAAGAAACAGGACTTGCAATCAGTGCTTTCTTTACAAAGGGATGCATAACTGGCGTCAATGACGAATTAGCAAGTTCTTCGAGATTTTGAATTTGCGGTTCGGGTAGAAAATTGATATCCAGAATTACTGAATAGAAGTAGCCTGAGTAGACAATGCAACTCAAGACTAATAGACCAAAAACAATTCTTTCAGCTTGCTTTTCTGGTTCTCTGACAATTGACAATCCAATCAGAATTTGACTAATGTTGAAAGTTTGCCAAGTGTTTCTGTCGAATTTTAACATCAGAGCTGTAATGCGAATTGTGACAATTGCAATAATGGTTGCAAGCAACATGTGAATGAATTCCTTCGATATTACGATCACTTTAGTGAACCTTGCGGCATTTGGAATCACAGCCTTTATAAGACTAAAATCTACAATGCGCATACGAAGGGCATTTGGGTCATATTTTAAATTCTCCCTTACAAAGATATTTAAAATGATTTCAGCTTTCTCTCTAATGAGAATATCTAAAAGTTGACCAAAACCCTTGACATTGGACATATAAGTGTCAACCGTACAATGCATTACTTTCGAAAAAATCTCTTCCAATCTTTTGTACATTTTATATTGCATCATCTTTTCTTGAGGTTCAAAGATCCCAAAGACAATTTTTAATGGATAACCCTGAAGATTCAGCAGTTTGTTTTTAAACCATTTTTTCTCAGTTGTTACCATTTGAGCGCTGTAATTTTTTGCAAATGGATTAATTTCATGCAAAATGGGCAATTTATTGATTTTCAATGCCAGTGATTTTTCATTTTCGGGAAAATGCTGCATTATTGCAATGTCAAGAAAATCACGTAACCAGAAGTATTCAAGTAATTGTTTGTTCAAGTGAGAATCTCTTTGAGAAAAGATGTTAATCAAACATCTAGGATGCGAAAGTCCTTGCGACAGTTGTATCAGTTGCAGAAGTATATCATACACAAAGCCCCAAGTGGAATTCTGATTGCCATTGACAATTATAACGAACAATGTCGTTCGTCTTGGTCTTTGTAACAATGGTGGAAAAAGTTTCTTAAGATCATATTGCATCCTATATAAACTAATACTCAAGGATGGAATGTGTTGAGTAACATCTGTTATCAAGGTATCAATGCTTGAACTTGAATTCAGAAATACCTTATAATCATTGATAAATACTACCTGATACAGTTTTGACTCCTCTTTTAAATACTTTATTAATCCTCGAGTATAATCGCTGTTGGTCGCCATTCCAAACATGAAGGCACAAGAAAATGCTAAACAGAAGCCACAGTTTAGGAACTTTACCATAATTTGTCGTTTTAACAATAAACAACATGTTTATTGTATTTCTTCGGTATTGAATCTTCAACAATTCAATACTCTTAATAAATACTAAACTTTACCACATGCAAGACAAACTATGTTTGCAGAAATTGTTGACGTCTATAAAAGAAAAATGAAAACAGAAAGAATTATTACTATCAGATATGTAAAAAGAGATAGCAACCAAAGCAAGTTTGAACAATTTTAAAATATTTTACATAGATAGTATCTTTTTTAAAAAATAAAAAACTAAACATAATTAAGTGATAATAATCTGATGTTTTTCTAAAATCTATATTAATTGTCATGTTTTCTTTTCTAAAGTAGGTCACCAATAATGGTTATGAAGGAACAAATATTTCTTTTAACTTTGGGATCGATATTTTCTAGAATTTTTTTCATTTCTATTGAAGTTCTAAAACTTAGGATATATTCTTTAAAAATTAAAAATTTTTAAAAATATATATAAACCATTTTTTGTATTTGATGTAATTTTATATATTTATTTTTAATATTTAATCTATCTTTTCAGATTTTAGTAAAAAATAAGTTTGAGTCTTTTTTCATTGATTAATCGAAATTTCAGTTAATTAAAATGTTTTTTTTAGTACAAATTATTTATCTTTCATTAAAAACGATAATGAAATTTAAAACCTTAAGTGTTAAACACTTTTAGGATGTATTGTATCAACAAAAAAATTTCACAGAAAATTGAACAACTTTTAGCCATAAAAAAGAAAGAACACATACTAACCGTTTGAAATCGATTAATGAAAATCGATATACATATTCTATTCAAAAGTTGAAGAAAATTAAATTTCATAAGTTCCAGTTCCATTCATAATAGAAAAAAAAATTTTTTAAAAGTTCTATTCAGTTTGTCAGAATTTTTATTTGCTCGAATTTTCATTTAACATAATAGGCAATTTTAATGAATTTTTATTGGGTTGAATTTCATTGCATAGAATTTTCATAAAACCGATTTTTCATATTTTCATTAAAAAAAATCGAGATTTTTTTATTCTTTTTATTAATTTTCAATATTCATCATCTCCAATTCACTGCAAATATAGTGTTAAATTTACATACGTAAAAAGAGAAAATTAAGTGCTGATAAAATAGATGTGTATAAATTTAAATGTTTTACAAATATAAGATTAATTAATTTAATTTTTCGCAACATTTATTATATATAACAGTTAATTTATTTTATCAACACGGCTTTTATCTTTATAATTACTGCGCATTGAATAAAAATGATATCTCAAAACTAGTTAACTTTTATGTTAAAGATAATTTTCCTTTCTATATTATATACCAGGTTCTTTAATCATGAGTGGGATCATCGTCAAAAACGATAAAAGAAATTTTGTCCTTACTTTTCTTCTATCTAAATAACTTTTATTTTATTCTATATAATTTTCTGAAAATACGTAATTTTATGGAAATATTCATGTGTTCTATTAAAATTTGAATTATTCTGGACTCATTTCCGATTCAAAATTTTTAACAAGAATTAATTAAGAATTTATTATTTAGATTGTTATACGAAAACAGTCCAAAAATAATATGAAATATTCCGAAAATTGTGCCGACAAAACGACAATTCCAAAGTAAGTTTCAATGTCAAAAATTTTGGTTTTGGTATCTGGTTTTCGATTTCTAAAAAATTTCGATTCTTTAAGTTATTGATAAATTATTTATTTATAAATTTATTTTATGAATATACTCTCTAAAACTGTAATCATTCAAAATGTGACTGTAGTGAATATAACTTCTGACAATTCGAATTGTAGAAAATTAAAAATTTTCAAAACAAAAATAATTATTTCATTGATTTATCTCTTATTAATTTGAATCAGAGAGAATCACTAATTTCAGAGCGTAATTACAATTAAAAAGTTATTTTATATATATAATATATTTTAAGACTTTCTTACTACAGTTTACGTGAAAAAAAACTCTCAATTTTGAAACTACCAGTAAAAAAAACTAACCGTCACACAAACAACACTCGATTCTCGCAAAAATAAGTGTCGATCGACACTCAGAAAATTCGATTCTCACTCTCACTTTCAGTTTCTCTCAAAAATTTTTTACTCTCACTCTCACTCAACATTTTTTAATATCTCCCTTACTATCATTCAAAAATTTTATACTCTTACTCTCGCTCTTACTCAAAAATTTTTCAATCTCACTCCCAATCAAATTTTTCAATCTCACCCTCACTCAAAACTTTTCCAATGTCACTCTCACATTCACTCTCAATATCACTCTTACTCCAAAAATATGATGAATTGAACTATATAAAATCTAAATTTGAGGTTCATTAAAAGTAGAGTCAATTGAAATTTTAATCATTTAAATTTCGTATGAATTAAATTTAGTGTCTATTGAAAATCTAATCATTGTATTGTTTTAAGAAATCAAAACTTGAAATTTTGTATTTAAATGTTAATATTACTGTAATATTAACCGGTAATATTACCATGAGGCGGACATTTTAATATTACGTGCTACTTGGGTCGATGGACCTGATTTTTAGTTCATAAAATTTTGAAGGATTCGAAATTTCAATTTACACATATTTGATAAAATTAATTTTTATTTCCTCGAAATTTTAACAGATCCAAATTTTGATATACTTACCCACATAGCACCATATTTTGCAGGAAGCTAACAGATAACTAACAGTGTTAAGTTCGGAAATTAAGACGGTTAGTTTCCCGTTAGCTTCCCTGTAGCTCTATATGTCCCCCGCTATTAACTTATCCGTGATAGCTTCCAAAAAGTTATCGTAGTAAGTTTTCTAAAAGAGTGCAAAGAAAAGTTTGTGAAATATTGAATTGTTATTTAACAAGAA